CCGATTAAAAAACCGAACGAACTTATTTGCCAACCCAATACAATTTTTATTATCATACACTTCTGTGATCAGTTGAAGATATTCAAAATCCAATTCATCGCAATCGGCATCAGAAAGCTCAATATCATAAATATTCCGAAAATATAAATTCTGAGGTTATTGGTCAATAAGTATTGCCAATTGACATTAGTTAGATCCATAAAGAAATATTTCTACAGATAAAATAAAGGAAAAATATTTAAACAAATTATGGCATTCATTTAAAGGAACTTTCAGGCATAGGCTTCATTTTATTGTTTAAATGTCATAATTTGAAAGAAAATATCTTTTCTTTTAAGGTGTTGAAATACATGCAATTTTCGTTAAAATTTTTTGCAATATTCCGTGCAAAACGTGTTACAAACCTTATTGCTCACAGCAGCGATATCTTGTAATGCCAAAATAGGTGGACTGTCTTTACGCTACACGATAGCACAACGACCTGCCGCCCACCGTAGTGGAAGATCCGATCAATAATTATTAAGATTGTTACAATGAGACCTAAGATTTCAAATCGCCACTGGAAAATTTTTCTCTTTCATGTATATCACTATAACGGACCATAACAGACATCTTGAAAAACACCTTAACATACAGAGTATTATATGCCAGATTGCAAGGACCCGCGTGAGAAATGAGAGAGCGATTGGCCCGAATGTGTTTTCATTCTCTCACACGTGCTCTTACAATGGCAAACCGGCATTATCGTTTTATATGCATGAAGAAACTAACTCGATTATGGCAACCGTAAATATTCAGTTAACTGAGTTTCGGTTACAATAACATGTAGCCTTTTTTCGCTGAAGGGCTGTTTACATCAATAAGTGTTTTCGGTTAGGAGAACCGAAATTTTCCCTTCCAAATGCGTTAAACTATTATATTAGGTTAACCTAATTCGTTAACCTAACCATATACTTAAACCGAGAATACGAAGCGACATGTGCTGCCATAGATATGATATACCAACAATGTTAACAATCCTACAGTCTAAGATGATAGTCTCGGAACCAAGAAGTTTCAGGTTCAAATCCCAACAGGAGAAACATAATATTTTTGTCGAATAGCAATATTAACTCGGTTAAAATAACCGAGTACAATTGTCTGAGCAGCAGAAATATTCTATAGGAATTTTTCTAATTCTATTTCAACAATCGAGTTTTCATTTTGTCTACAGATAACAAAAATTTTCGGTTGTCATGACCGAAATTCAGTTACAAGAACTAAACTTTTTTTGTTTTTTCTGTGTATATTGATCGTTAGGATTATATATCCATGACAAACTTGAGCTTTTGTTTTCTCGCAAATACCTCACATCACCTGCACATCACCATGAAGAACACATCACACTCGTGTACAGTAAAGAAATATACTCGTTCAACTGGCAAGAATATGACGACGAGACACAACAATGTTGTCACGTGAGTTCTAACTTAGCAACAATTTAATGTAAGAGTGCAATTATCTATATTTCATGGTAATGCACATGTTTGAAGAACAGAAACTGCCTCATAAGTGGGTGCATGGCAGCAGCTAAATAAGAAATGAGCCAGAGCACTCACGTCATGGCAATATAGCGACTATATTACGGATTATCGGCAACAAAGCAATAGTCATTATTTTGCTCGGCCCGATGGCGAAGAAAAAATGGAATAAAGACATCGCGTATGCGATGACCCCCTTCAAATTGCTAACGTGGCCGATCGGCGTTTGGCCGCTTCAGGTTTTCAACGTTTTCTCACTAATACGATGGATCGTGGCCACCTGTTGCTTGGTACGTATTTTTTGAGTTCAGCATCATTTTCCTCTGTTGTATGACCTTTGAAAGATGTAAGTACTGTGACTTAAAATCAATCGTACGTTTAATTTATAATAATGTTGCACAGGATGAGATATTTAAAGAACATTCAATTAATATTTCTAGAAAAGTATTAATTTTCGAGAGAAAAATGTATTTATTTTTTAAAATAAAAGTTTAGGAACAAGTTTGAATGAGCATCTTTAAAGCGACTACAATAGTGTTATCATTCATGATATCATTTTCGTGATATATTAATAAGAACCATTAAAAAAAAAATATTTTCCCTAATTATATTTTTTTCATATAACCAATATATGTTAAGGTAAATTAATCCTATTATATTATGTTTTCATTAAGTACATCCCCTCATTTGGAACTTTAATATCAGGTATACGTATCGCATTTGTGGCACGTTTTGAAAATAATTAATTATAATTTTATGCAACAACGCAAATATATGAAGTACATAAATTCCTTGATAACTGAAATTTTTTTTAACACCCAAGCAGAGATGCCAGATCGTGTGATTTCTGGATTGTGATTCACGTGATGATAGGCTTATGTTACGCTGCATGAATATAAAGCAACACAAGATGCTTGTTTTTGTATTGGATTGCTTGTGTGCTAGAAATATTGCGTTTTAATTGATGCATTTCTATAAATCATATGAATAATCCAAAAATTTCACAATCTGGCAGCTCTACACCCAAGTACCGTACAGAAACGTATATTTTTGCTCACGTATATTTTTTGCTCATTTTTACAGAGTTTCGTAGTGATCATGCCGGCACTCGAATTCCAATTCGGCTGCACCGATGCAGGATCGAACGTAGACAGCCTCATGCTGATTACGTGTGGGCTACTCGCCATGATGAAAACTATACTATTTCGCGTTTATATAGAGCAATTAGCTGACAATTACAATTCCGCAATAAACGATTACCTTATGGTCGAGGATACAGGAAAGCGTGTCATTATGCGACGACACGCTTTTTTCGGAAGAATGCTCGCCTGCTTCATGGTGTGCTTCTCGTATTTCGCCAGTGCGCTATGTACGCTAATCTCTGCTCTAACCGACGACAAAGATAAGCAGCTTAATGCAACATACGAGGTGGCAGTGGAGGAATATCCGATACCGTCAAGATGCACCTTAGAGTACTTGAATGTACCTACCAGCGTGTCTAAGATAATTTGCTTTTTCGAGTTTATGGCATTTATACTTACGAGTACCAGTAATCACGGTAATGCCATATTCATTAAGAACCGTCATTACTGCTTTCTACCTGTGTATTCTAACATTTATTAAAACGATAATTAATATCATAGAACTTTAAATAATAAGAGACTACTATTTTCATGCTATTATTTAAGAAAATCATGTTACATGTCCTTTTACTAAGGTACCGACGCCTTATTCCTCAATGCTACATTGCATGTTTGCGGCCAAGTGAAAATCCTCAAGGCCGATTTCACCAATTTCGACACTACGAGTTCGAGAATCCACGAACGCTTCAATGCATTGGTCAAGAGACACAACTACCTGATAACAATGGCCAATAAACTCGCTGAGACGATCAATTATGTTATGCTGATGCAGTTTTTTGTTAGTAGCATTCTTTTGTGCATAATAGGTGAATAACCTTTTTCAATATTCGCAATATTTGCAGCATTGACAAGAAAAGGGTATCTTAATTTAAAAATGCTTGTATTAAATATACATATGTTACCGTAGGATTTCAACTTATTCTCGCATTGAGATTAAGCCATTTCGGTATGCTGGCAAAAAGCATCGTGATGATGAGCTCCTTTATGACACAGTTATCGGCATACAGTTTCGTCGGGGACTATTTGAAGTCCCAAATGGAAGAAGTCGGATTGTCTATTTATCAAAGCAATTGGTACAACCTTCCTCTAACTGTAACAAGAAATATTGTCTTCATGATGATGTGGGATCAGTATCCCGTCAAGCTCCTAGCTGGCAACTTCATTGTGGTAAATCTGTCCACCTATATGAACATCATTAAAACGTCAATGTCCTATCTATCTGTGCTACGCGTAATGGTAGATACATGAAAAGTATTTGGCACATATAATAAAAAGAAAATTATGAATTATGATCCTGTAAATAATCTTAGGTAAAGCCCCACAATATAGAGACCTACAAAAGCTCTATAGGATTTCTCTTACTTATTATTTTAATAAAAACTAAGTCGAAATTGTCAACCTGGGAGAAAATGATTATATTAGGTGGTTGCATATAAAACCGCCCGCTGGCACTATATGGCGTTATGTACACTATATCTTTAAATTGAAAGTTGGAAATACACATGATAACAGATCTATAGAGTCCCGCCAAAACGCCATACGTGACATAAATCACATTAGCGAGAAATCACATTATGCTCCATTATTTCCTAGCAAAGAAATCACCCACAGAAACGCATCGTTTGCTAAAGGAAGTGTATGCCGAACATACTCCATCGAGTACAACGTGCGAAAAGTGGTTACCCCACTTCCAATGTGGTAATTTCTCTATGGACAACAAGGACTGCGGAAAACCACCCAAAAAATTTGAGGTGGACGGAATTGGACGCATTAGACGAAGACTCGAGTCAAACGCTGGTAAAGTTGGCCGAAGCCTTAAATGTGGACAAATCAACAGTTTCCAGACAACTATAGACGCTGGGACAAGTGCACAAGCAAGGAGATAAGAAATGGATCTACAAAGGCAGTCTGATAAGAAGTAGAATTTACGCATGATGGCGTCACTGCAACGAAACCGGTTTTACCATCATATAGCCCCATCTTTTAAACAACGCCTGTCAAAATTTCAGCCTTATCCGTCCATTAGTTTTTTGCTGACAGCCGATTAAAATGAACGCCTCAGCCATTGTCGTCAGTATGGAAAAAGGGCAATATTGTTCGGTGATTCGTTTTCTTTACTTGGATGGGAAAACGTGTGAAGAAGTCCAAGAAAAATTGGAAGCCGTTTACAGGGATGTTGCTTCTTCGAGAAGCATTGTTTTTAGATGGTACGTTGAGTTTCGTCTTGGTCGCACATCCGTCTTTAATGATGACCGTCCCGGGCGGCCAAAAGAAGTTATTACCGAAGATTTGGTTAAAAAAGTGCACGATATCATATTGGCCGACCGTCAGGTGAAGGTACATGAGATAGCAGACATGGTAAAGATCTCGGAAGAACGCACAGGACATATCATACATGATATATTGCGCATCAGAAAGCTATCAGCGCGATAAGTGCCGCAGTTGCTCACCATGGACCAAAAACGAAATCGGATAGTCATTTCGAAGATGTGTTTGGAGCTGTTTCAACGTAATCAGGCGGAGTTTCTGCGTCGTTTTGTGACTGTAGATGAAACGTGAGTCCATCACTATATACTAGGGACCAAGCAGCAGTCTAAACAAAGGACTTTACCTGGCTAAAGAGCTCCGAAGAAGGCCAAAACGGCCTCATCGGCCGGAGAAGTCATGGCTGCGGTATTCTGGGATTCCTGCGGTAATCCTCATCGATAATTTGGACAAGGGAAAATCCATCACGGGGCAATACTACAGTGATTCGCTGGGACGATTCGATGTGGAACTGAAAAAAAAACGGCTTCATCTTGCAAAGAAGAAAGTCCTGTTCCATCATGACAATGCACCAAAACATTCATCCGCAATCTCTAAACTAGTCGAATTGAGATACGAACTGCTCACTCATCCGCCGTATTCTCCAGATTTGGCTCTCAGCGACTTTTTCCTGTTTCCCAACATGAAAAAATAGCTCACAGGAAAGAAATTCACGTCTAATTCGGAGATCATCACTGAGGTAGATGCCTATTTTGCAGAGTTTGAATAATCATACTTTTTAGAGAACATTAAAAAGTTACAGCACCGTTAAAAGAAGTGTATAGAAGTGAAAGGGGACTATGTTGAAAAATAAATCGAAATTTTTCCGAAATATTGCGTTTTCATTTCAAATCTTACTACTTATCATGCCGCCCTCGTATTTCGACAATCCGAAGCGAAAAGCAGCATGGGTACATCTCGAGGAACCAGGTCCGTCGACGCCAAAGAGAAACATTCACCATTCGCCAGTAAAGTCATGCTCTGTATCTGGTGGGATCAGAGGAGTGTCGCGTAATACGAACTGCTGAAACCATCACTGAGGATCGTTGTCGACTGCAACTGATCTGTTTGAAGCGAGCTCTGCACGAGAAGAGGCCGGAATGGGAGAATCGCTATGACAAGTTGATTTTGTAGCACGACAACGCCAGACCGTATGTTGCTCAACCAGTCAAGAAGTACTTAGAAGGAGTGAACTGGGAAATCCCATTTGCTATATTCCCCAGACATCGCTTCCTTCAATTACCATTTGTTCCGGTCGATGCAGTCAGTGCTTACAGCACAACACTTCACGTCGTACGAAGGAGTCGAAAAATGGCTCGATGACTGGATTGCCTCCAAAGAACCCGAATTTTTCCTGCGTGGAATCCGATTGTTGGCCGAAAGATGGGCCAAGGTTATCTGTTCCGATGAGTAATATTTTGAATAAACCAGTTCGTTGATTTGCTACCAAACTGCTATCTTTTCCTTTGCTGAAAAATGGGCGGTTTCATATGCAACCATCTGATATATAATTATACAGGGTGTCTCAAACTAATCTCGGTTCCCATGGTATGCAAAGAGAACGAGTAAAACTTAGCAGAAAAGTCATATACCATTTTGCAAAATTCGCAATAGTTAGTGATGAAGATTTAATTATTTTGTCTAAACTAATGAATAGGAAGAATACATGTGAAGAGGCAGGCTAGACTCTGTATAAAGAAAAATGGTTTCCTTCTGAAAATTTCCTGCTAAACATGATTACACAGGCCGACAAAATGAGACCGACCTCCTTACCCAGAAACCAGACTATACTTTCCCGAAGGTTTTCGGTGCGCTGAATTCAAATCTGGCCGCAGAATTGCTCTATCACATCAGGATTTTGAGATATTCTAACTTAAAAGTGCAAAAAATACCGTTTTTGCCCACTTTTGCGGTTATGTATGCAAGCCAGAGTAATTTTTCTCCAAAAAGTACAAAAAAGGTATTAAAGTACAAGTCTTCCTCTTTCAAATGGCGTTGAGTTTGCTTAAATATCTTTTTGCTTCGCTAAGATATTACAATTTTAAGTTTACAAATTTTCAAATTTTCCTATATCTTAAAAATCATGAAAGTAACATAGCGGCCATGTGTACTATCCGCAGCACTTTCTGTTCACGGATTCAACAAGGTTTTTTTTATGTATTTTGACCCGCTGAATCCGAAATTCGAGATTGGAAGGCTGGGAAACGCGATTTTTCGCGTTTATCCATGAAAATTATGAATTTTCCGGATGTTAGTGACGTTTCCCATTAACTGCCGACTTCACTTCTTCACGGAAAAAGTGAAGTCGGCAGTTAACGGCTATTTTGAGGAGCAAGACAGTTCTTATCATAAAAAGGGTATCGAACTTATTGAACATCGCTGGGAAAAGTGTATAGAGCTGAAAAGAGATTATGTTGAAAAATAAATACATTTTTTTCCAAAATTTTTGTGTTTTCTTTGTTGGGTCGGGTACTTCAGGGACCAACCTCGTACTAACACGTGCATAACATATCCATGTAGTTAAGCGAAGCTCTGTAAAATTCAGACGGTTTCGAAAAATGTATTGAGTCGAGTCGGGTGAGAAATATTTAAGACGAAAAAATGAGTTTCCTTCACATGGTACAGTCAGCAACAACGATCGTACTTTGAATATTTAATGATCGCCCTTCTGCTTGGAGAGATTCTACCATTGTCAAAGTGCGATCGCTGTCGCTGATTATACTGAATCGTGTAAAGGCAGCTCACTTTTTCGCGCATTAACTCTTTCGATACGAGCACTTTGTCCACCGTGACATTCCCGCTCTACGAGGCGCCAATCCGAAAATGCACACATAGCGCTTGGTCAGCCCTCTTTTGTATAAAAATTTTCTTAAGCGTTAAATAAGAATTGTGCTTAATCTAATACATCAGTAAGATAGAATACTCTGTTACCAACTATAGATGACGCTCGTGCATACAGGCTGTTGCATGGATGCCGGATATATCCGGCGCTCGTACACACAAGTCATCAGATGGATGCCGGATATATCCGGCATTCGTACACACAGGTCATCAGATGAATGCCGGATATATCCGGCGCTCGTACCGAAAGGGTTAAATATCACTCGGCCGGCACGGCTCACTTCACTTTCTGAAGCCACCTGAATTTCACAGGGCTTCACTTGGCTACACGGATATATTATGCATGTGTTAATAGAGGGACGTCTCTCGACAATGTATCACTGCTATGAAGACTGACCCGACTGCTGATTACGACTGCCAATTCTTAATGGACCAATTATAATAGATTAGTTATATGATGCTTCACTATGTTAGACTTTTCAAAAATTGACAGTCGTAACCGCCAGTCAGATCGGCCTTCAGTCAGCCTGATATAAACATTATAAAAAAAGATTGAAATAATGACTGCATTCAGAAAATATGGTGATTAATAAGTAGTCAATGATTATTAGTCTTTTTTATTAGATTCTTAAATTTAGAGCGATTATTATGTTGATGAATTACTTAACCGTTGTCCAATTTTATGATCTGGATAATTTTTATTAGAAATTTTTATAAAATCTCTCATTAAATCATCTAAAAAATTATCTAAATAAATAGTGCTACTTATCTTTCATCTAAAGACAACAAAGGCAAAATCATCTCATCTAAGGTGAATTTTTATGATTTTCACCTCATCTTCATCTAGATGAATCTGAAATCATCTAAGACAAACACTGATCGTAATATTTTTTGACATACGATTTCTTGCTTTTGATGTCATCAAACAAGAACTAAAGTAAGGGTAGTACTTAAAAACTAAAAGTACGCTATCGAGGAAGCAACGCTAGGTCTACATAGTGAGAGAATATTTATGAATTTGTCGGAATAAAGAAAAGGGTATACTAATTTTCTGATAACGATAGCTTACAAAATAAGAGCGAATCCAAAAAGGCGAGATGTGGGAATATCCAACGTTTCTAATAGTACAAAGGAAAAAAGCAGACGTCGGGATCGGCGGTGGTATTCAACTGCGATGAAACAGATGCGTCAGCGATTTGTCGTGAAGCAGAATTCAACAATCGCTGTACCGTGTGAAAGTTAGAAAAATATTTACGAAAAAATCTCGGATTCTCGTGGTACTTGATGCGAGAGCGATTTTAAAATGAATACAAAAATGCATACAAAAACGGAAAATAATTTTTTAGATCGCGTCTATATTGGACAAATTGCCAAATTGGAATTTCATTATGGAAGTGCTCCTTGCGTCCTCAATTTAACGAATTAACTTTTTGTTTTATTCCTTTCTTTGTTACAGATTATAGTCAGCGATTTATCGAGAACTGATGTGAGAGATATGCTCATGAATGCCTCGGCGGTTATAATTTCGACGAGCAACGGTTCTGAGAAATGCATTCGCAATGGCGAAAAATATTCAGACTATAATATTCGGTTGGTAGTCGTCGCTGAATATCGGTTAAAATTACATTACAATATTCGGTGCTTATGAAAATGAAAAATGTCAGAAGTTAATATAGATTTATAATTAACACGTTCGCTACCAGCGTCACATATATGTAACACACTGATTTCTATTGAGAGCTCAGCATCACACATGTGTAACAATAATCAATTTTTATTCATTCATTTCTTAAAAAAACGAAGTCTGTTCGGAACTTGACAAATATGCTTGAAAATGGTCGTAAGTTTAATTAGCAAGCTTAATCTGAGGTTATAATACGATATATTAACAAATTTATTAAAACGAATTATTAGTTTGCCTCCCAGTGTATGTTTCACTTGCTATGCAGTTTTGCAATTGCTAAAATAGGTAACAGATATGTACGAGGGTGGATCAAATATAAACGAGCCTTTTGCAAAAAAATCATATATTTTTCAAAATCAATTCTAATTTACATTTTTCTTATTTTTCTACATAGTCCCCCATCTTACACTTCCTCTATACACTTCCTCCAACGGTCTTGTAATTTGTTAATCCCGGTATCATAAAAAATTCGCGGACGCGTATAAAACCAATTGCACACAAACTGCTGCACCTCCTCGTTCGTCGTAAAGCGCTGTTCACCAAGGGCTTCCTTGAGTGGCCCGAACATATGGAAGTCGTATGAGAACAGGTCTGGGCTGTAGGGTGGGTGTTCTAGGACAGCTCAGTGCAATCGGCCAATTTTTGTTGTGTTACTGCTGCGGTGTGGGGTCTGGCATTGTCATGGAGAAGCAACACACTTCTGATCGAAATGCCGCGCCTTTTTGACCAATAGGCAACTCGAACTTGGCTAAGAAGATCACAATAATAGGCAGCACTAATGTTTCGACGTTCTTGAAGAAAATCGACCAGCAGCACGCCTGCCGAACCGCCTCGGTGTTCTGCGCTGTGATGCTGGTGCGGGAACGGCGCGGGTGGGCAATGTTTTCAACACGCTCCCGTCCTTTCTTAAATTCGTTACAACACTGCTTCACCCGAGTCCATAAAAGGGTTCTTTCCCCTAGCTGTGAGAATAAACGGCGCCGAATTGCAGCAGCATTTATATTTTCGTTGACGAGAAACTTAATAATAACACGTTGTGCAACGGGGTGTACTTCTTTCTCGCTCATCGTGATTGCTGCTGAGAGTAAGAAGCACGTGACGCGCTAACGTTATTACTGCCTTCAACATGAATCCCCTCCACTGTCCAAAACGTTGCAGACTTCTCACGCCGCCAACCGGTGCGCAATTTAAAAAGGCTCGTTTATATTTGATCCACTCTCGTATAATGGATCTGAAGAGGTGACTAAACGAGACAAACATCTCTTAAGTGTAATATGATGCTGAAACCTTTACTCAAAACAGAGCATGTTGAAAAGCGATGCATATGGGCTATGCAAAAATTTGATTCATTGGAGTAATATAATTTTAACTGACGAAGCGTCTTCTTGCACATACCAGGTGTGTTCAAAAAGTATCGCGAATTTTGAATTTCCGGGTTACGTATATTCGATTTTTGATTTTTTTGTGGCGTTATGTTGGTACTCATGTCCCTCACTTATGGCGACAAGTTCGGCCATTTTGCATATTCAGTTTATCTTTGACAGCTGTCTTGCTTGGACGTGTTTTGGCTCGTCTTCGATTTTTGTCTATTCCAAAAAATGGATCAAAGAATCTGTATCAAATTTTGTGTGAAAAACAAAATTAAGTGCGCGGACGCATTCCGAATGTTGACTGTGGCATATGGTGAAGCTACCTTAGACCGAAGCAACGTTTATCGGTGGTACAAAATGTTCTCAGAGGCCCGAGAAGAATGTGAACGACGAAGAGCGTGCCGGACGCCCGAGCACGTCAACAACAGACAAAAACATTGATGAAGTGAAGAAAATAGTATTAGCCAATCGTCGAATCACCGTTAGAGAAGTTGCTGAGGACCTAAACGTATCGATTGACTCGTGTCATTCGATTTTTACTAATGATTTGGGCATGAGACGGGTTGCCGCGAAATTCTTACCAACGCCCCTGCTCACACATCGTTGCTTGTGCGCGAATTTTTGGCCAAAAACAGCACACTAATGATGTCGCAGCCACCGTATTCCCCAGACCTGGCCTCCTGTGACTTTTTCTTGTTCCCGAAACTAAAGAGGCACATAAAAGGACGACGCTACGCTACGATTGAGGAGATAAAGACGACATTGAAGGAGGAGCTGAACAAGATCACAAAAAATGATTTTTTGAAGTGTTTCGAGGATTGGAAAAAACGTTGGCACAAGTATATATCTGATAGGGATTACTTTGAAGGAGACAAAATAGATATTCATGAATAAATAAATAATTTTTGATAAAACACAAAATTCGCGATACTTTTTGAACAGACTTCGTATGATTATATATGATTATATATAGTCGTATATGGGCAAATTTCATATATTATCTTTTTTTCTAGATCATAATTTTATGAACTATATGAAAAATCAATCAATTTCGATTATTTCAAAATTTATTAATTTTTCTCATGCTTCTTCGCTGTCGAAATTAAGTCAAAATTAAAGAAGTATTATTTTATTGAGAAAAGAAAAAAACTTAGAAAAAGAATGGCAATACTAGAAATTGAACATGAACCTACAACTTCGAAGGCACTCAGCCCATCGAGTTGCAATGCGTCGTTTTGAAAGTCGCTCTTGTTATACACGTGACACTAAAATCTTTTTAAAATCAATCATGATTCTATAATTAATCCTAGGTAAAATTTTATAACAAATATCTATAGAAAGAATGTAGCATATCTCTCAATCATCATTTTAATAAAATCATCAAGTCAAAATGCATTTGTTTGCTTATATGTCAACACATAATAAAAAAATGTCCAACTTTCTTTTGCGTAAGTGAAACACAAAACATATCTGAAAAATTCCTCAATTACCTGCGTCTTTAAAAATCTGAACACCAAATTCCAAACTGTATCGTGAGCCATCTTGTTACATCAATGAAAAGTACAATTATAGATAGGTAAGTAGATAGAGAAGAAGAGATATTATGTGAATGTAGCATTACCAACGAAACAATTCGTGTTTAACCGAAGATAGACGTCATTTTAACCGAAGTGAAAAAAAATTCTCTTTTTCTCTCTTTTCTCTTTCAGGTTCCTCCTATACTTTCATATAATATTCTTTCCAACAATTTTTTGAACAGCAGCATTTCCGAAGATAACGAGGAGTATTGGTAAGTAATAAAATTACGTGAGATAAATAAGATATGAACGCATAAGTGACCGTCATCAGCGATCGATTCACATTATGGAAAATGATAAGCATTAGCGAGCACTATGCAATCCAATTCTTATTCGAGTACAACAATGTCATGGAAAGAGGATGTAGCATACGCTATGACTCCCATCAAATTTTTGACTATACCCTTGGGTGCTTGGCCCTTGCAGGAATATAATATGTTCGCTTTAGTGCGTCATATCGTATCTACTGTCGGATTGGTACGTTTTCAGTTTTCACGTCGCAAAAACGAAGTCCTACCGACTCACGACTGCTATTCACATGAAGAGTTGGGCCAGCGAACCGCGTACGGTAGTGTGTGTGTTTGTCAACATCGGCAGAGCGTTTCGAGTAGTATCGACACGACAAATTCAAGCGAGCAATAAAGCAACCTAGTGTGAAATTATTCTTTTCTATTGTTCTTATTGTCTGTTTAGGTTGTAGCGGTGGTCGTTCAGTATTTCGAACTTAATTACAGTTGCACAGGAGCGTACTCGCAGCTCGACGCTCTGACGGTCTTCACGTGCGGCATACTCGCTGTATTAAAAATAACATGGTTCCGTATATACGCCGATAATCTAATTTGCAATTATTCATCCGCCATGAGTGATTATCGCACGATCGACAACGAAGTGAAACGTGCTGTTATGCAAAAACACGCTTTCCTGGGTAGGATAATCTGCATCATCGCCCTACTTATCGCTTATGTTGACTCGGTGATCTTTATCGTGGGACATTCGGCAGCAAGCTCGAAAGAGTTTAAGTTAAACACTTCCATAGAAGGCCTTCGATCGGGATACGCTATCCCATCAACGTGCACCTTAGCACACTTTTACATCTCGCGGAACGCGTTCGTGGTAATCTTTGGGGTGGAGAGTATCATATTAGTGATCATGTGCCTTGGCAATCATGGTAATTAATAAATTATATTGTTATCGACGGCGAAATAGAATTTGCACTTACGAGATATTAATTTTTGTTTTACATTTTTTTATTAAATTATAAATTCTATCACGTTTGCATTATCACAGGTCATTCGGAAAACTGTGGTTGCAAACCCCCTTCTATTTTTTATATATAATAACAAAAATAAATTTTCTTAAGTTATTTACACAAGCTGCCTGAAACCATTCGTATATCTCGTAAATACCTCGTAAATACCTCGTAAATACCTCGTAAATATCTCGTAAATATCTCGTACTATTTAAAAAGTAATCTTCCGATTTGGATAGCCCACTTCCATTTAGAACCGAAAATTGAAAATACCGCCATTCGATTGGCGTAGCCGATTTATTCATTAGAATTTTTAAAGTTTTTGTTAAAAACCGCTTTCCTCTGATATAAAAGGAGCATACGGATGGTTTTAGACACCCTATATAAAAGTAAAAAAATTATCGCTCTTACACATAATGTAGGTTTTTCGTGTAAAATCGGTGTGTTATACATATAACAGGTGGGCTGATAAGTTGGTCTAATAAAGGAAACACAACTTTTTTGGTAAAAATAAATGTTATTCATCAACATAGTTTCCATCAAGAGCAATACAGTCACTCCAGTGCCTCTCTAACATTTCTATACCTTTTTTAAAAAACGATTTATCTTTAGC